AGGAAGGAAGGAAGGAAGGAAGGAAGGAAGGAAGGAAGGAAGGAAGGGACTTAAAGATTCATTGATAATGTGCTTTGCCTCAAAGAACTTAAGACGAGGAAGTTACTTTTTGTGACTGCAATGGTGTCCTAGTCTGTTCTATTTTGGTAGGCTAGGCAGGCAGGTGGCAGAGCCCTTGAAAGACAAAGCAGGCTAGGGTCCACCACCCAGGTCAGTGTAGTGCAAACGATATTTTGCTCATTGTGGGTTTGGAGCCTTAATTTGGCCTTTTAAAATGCTGGACTCAAATGCGCATCTTGACCGCTCAGTTATCTTGGCGCCCCTCCAAGTTCATACCTATGGCAAGTGTCTAACTCCTGTCCTCAATCCCAACCCCACTGTGATATTCTGAGAAAGCACACAGCCTTCCTTAGCAGCCCCATGACATCATGGGTCATAAATGCTGAGACTTGAGCCCCTGATCGTGAACTTGATCAGAATGGCCCACTGGGAACCTTGGAGATCAAGGCTCTCTGATGGCTTCGAGGCTGTGGCTGCCCTCCCTCCTCAAACCCTCATCTAGACAGTTTTCACCATGGCTTCCGCACTCCACAAACCAGTGGTGGCGATGGCATTTGTTCAGATGGATAAGGACATGGCAGTTGGGAGTGTCACTCCTTTCTTTGCGAAGTCAGAGCACATCTAGTCCTTTCTCTCGGCTTATCCCTGACAGCCGGTGACTCCCAAAATCTGCACTTTGTCTTTTCCTCTCTCCTGCTCTCCAGAAGAGGTTTCAGCCATGCTTAGGTCTTGCATCTTTCAGTATGAGTTCATCCCAGCATCTTCCTAGGTGCCACATGCTCAGGTTTAACCAACCACAGACTGAAATAGTTGGTAATAAAAATGGTACCTGTACTAGACACTGTATACATTCTATACTAGATATATTCATCGTCATTACATAAGCAATGCTATTTATGTGGCATTTGCACTGTGCGATGTGTTAATGTCATCTAGAGGTGGTTTAAAGCATGCAGGAGGGTGTGTAGAAGTTCGTGTGCCACTTCACCCAGGAGCACCTGCAACCTCAGATGTGGTTGGTATCCAGGGGAGGAGCTCCTGTCTTCACTCTCCTGTGGACACAGAGGAACAACTGAAATGGGTACCTATCAGATCGATCCATCTATCTAGAGCCCTCATCCAGGGCATTCGTTTTCAGGAGGTTCTCATTTGAGTGTTCTCAGAAATCTCATCTTCATTGTGTTTGCACTCGAAGGCTGTTGGCTAGAACATATTACCACAAGGTTTCTGGCTGAAATACAAACATTTTTGTCTCTGTCTTCTCTACCCTCACCCCCACAGCTACCCCCTAACCCTGAGCCCTCCTTGTTCCTTAGCCTCTCTGGATCTGTGGGATGTAGTGCGATTACCCACTTACAAGTGAGTACCTACCATGTTTGACTTTCTGGGTCTGGGTTGCCTTGCTTGGGATGATTTTTTTTCTGGTTTCATCTACTTGCCTGCAAATTTCATGATGTATTTTTTTAAAAGCTGAGTAATACTCCATTGTGTAAATGTACCATGTTTTCTTTAGCCATTCTTCAATTGAGGAACATCTAGGTTGTTTACAGTTTCTGACTATTATGAAAAAAGCCACTGTGAACATAGTTGAGCAGGCGTCCTTGTGGGAAGGTGGAGCATGTTTTGGGAATATGCCCAGGAGTGGTATATCTTCGGTCTTGAGGTTGATCGATTCCTAATTTTCTAAGGAAAAGCCATATTGATTTCCATAGTAGCTGTGCAAGTTTGCACTCCCACAAGCAATAGAGGAGCGTTCCCCTTGTTCCATATCCATGCCCCCATTAGCAGTCACTTGTGTTACTAACCTTAGCCATTCTGAGAGATGTAAGATTGAACTTCAAAGTAGTTTTGATTTGCATTTCCCTGGTAGCTAAGGACACTGAACATTTATTTAACTGTTGCCCAGCCAGTTGATATCCTCTCTATTGAGAATTCTTGGTTTAGATCTGTACCCCATTTTTAATTGGATTACTTGTTTTGTGGATAACTAGTTTCTTGAGTTCTTTATATGTTTCGGATATTAGCCCTCTCTCAGATATGGAGTTGGTGAAACTCTTTTCCCATTCTGTAGGAAATATATTGTCTCTTATAGAAGTAAGGTATGCTATCATATGAAGCCAAAGCATGAAGATGCTTCAGGGAAAATCAATTTCTTTGTCCTTCACTGTAGCATTCTAGAAGCCACCCTATCCCATGGTTTATGACCCATTCTTCCACCTTCAAAGTCAGCAATATTACACCTCTTCAGCCTTCTTTCACAGCCACATCTCCATTGGATTACAGTCAAACACTTCTCTGGTTTTTAATGGAATCACATGAATACAATGCCCACTGTCAATAATCCAGAATAATCTGCACATAAGGTCATTAACTTAATCATATCTGAAAAAAAAAGAAGTCCTTTTTTGCTTCCCAAGATGCATTAGTCTATGGGGGTGGGGAGTATAACATTTGCCAAACTCAGTGCCAGAAAGCAACTAGAGTCCCATAATCCTCTCTGTGGGGAGTGCCTGCAGTTGGCCCAGAGACTTCCCAATCAGACCCTATATCACTTCCACTTGCCACAGTAGTGACCAAGCTACCAACACATGTGCCTTTAGGGGAACACAACTAAGCGAAAGATAATACGGTCACCAGTTTCAAGGGTTAGAGTGTAAACATGTTTGCTTGGCCATTATGGAGGTAGTAGAACATTCTGCTGATGGAGCTTCTAAAACTGAACCTATGACCTCCTCTCCACTTTCTCCCTACTTTGTTCTCCCTCTATAGTCTTTATTATTTCCATAAGTTGTATTTTTATATTCCAGCTATCCTGGGATTTTGTAAATGGAATTATTACTTCCTTTTATAGCCTTCTTTTTTTTTTATCAAGTTGATGAGAAAGTCCTGGTAATTTCCCCTTTGGAAGTCTCTCTTTGGCCTGGGCAGATCCATCTATATTTCCTTACATTTGCCTGGTCTCAGGTATTTTGAAGACACCATGGCAGTGTTCTAGGGTACATGGTGTCTTACTTTATTCCCTATTTCCACACAGTCACCCCCTTCAGAGTTCTTCCAAACTTTCATCTGAGTTATCATCTGAAGCACACATAAGAGCTGGGTGAGGTGGTGCATGCTTATAATCCCAGCACTCTGGAAGAGGCAGGTGGATCTCTCTGAATTCAAGGTCAGCCTGATCTACAGAGAGAGTTCCAGGTCAGCCAGGGCTACACATAGAAATCCTGTCTCAAAAAACAAAAACAAAAAAATAAATAACAACTCTTAAAGTATGCATAACATCATGTCAGGTCCAAACTGAAAACACACCTGTGGCTTTAAAGTTCAGTGTTGCATCATGGTGCAGGAAGTGCACTATAACCAGGCCCCAAACAAGCTTAAAAGACCAGTATCCAGTGCCACACACAGCATTCCAGCCACAACAAACACTGGGGAGTACTCAATACAGTCCCTCCCGGGCAACTGTCTGTCCTTGCTCACTCTGCTTGCAAGATCTTCTGCTACCCGCCTATGAAACTACTCATCCTTCAGAGCACACTCACGTGGTATCCTGCTGATGGAGCTTTTCCTAATTTACTCGTATTTCTGTGTTTCCTTTGGATGCTGACTGTGGCTAGGAGCACATGACTGAGAGCCAAACAGTCTTCAATTCAAATCCTACATTATTTTTCTGTCTTTGTAGCTCTGACTGTGGCTACTTTCCTGCTCTCAGTGGTTGTGATGGCACTGCTAATTACCAACCTGACAAAACCTAGAACGTGATGGGCCTCAGAATGTGTCTGTTGGGGAATATCACAATCACATTAATTAACGTGCTTGGTATCATTCCCTAGGCAGGTGATTTTGGAGTACTGTCAAATGGAGAGGGTGACAGATCCATGAATAGATGCACAAATAACAGAATAGAGACTAGTTGTGGAAATGAGTAGAGTACATGCTGAGTGAGGGGAAATGTGCCTGAAATCCCAGAACCCAGGGGCTGATAGGAGGATCACGAGTTCAAAGCAGCCCAGGCTATATAAGTAGACCCTATCTAAGGTGGAGGAGGAGGGAAGGAAAGAGGAGGCAAGTGGAGGGAGGGAAAAGGAGGGGTAGAAAGAAAACAAGAAAATGAAGGCAGATTTCTCACCTTTCACCTGTCCATCTCTTGCTCCAGATACAAGCCTGTTCTTATATAAATCCAGACAAGTGATTGTCCCCTGGTGGCCGTAGAAGACTCGTACACAAACCCCAGTTTTCACATCCCAGTATCTGCAGAAATGGGGGTATGTTTTAGAGATTTTCTGAAGGCCCCAGAATCCTACTGTATAGGGTTCCCTTAGATAGCTAGGTAGTTAAACAGGCAGTGGAGTTGTGTCACTGTTAGCGTCTGGGAAGACCATCCCTACAGAAAAAAAAACAATTCAGTGCAGTGCACACGTTAGGACTAGTGACAGAGGTGAGCAAGTCTGGGCACAGATCAACCTACGAGACTCAAACCATCCCTCTATCTATCAGTAACCAATCTGAAGGCATAAGGATGTGATGCTATTCCGGATGGAATAGAATTATGAGGGTTAGTCAGACTGCACAAGGCTGTTAGATGGCTTTAAACAGAACAAAGAAGGGATCTGGGGAGATAACTCAGTAAGAAAGGCAAGGGCCTGAGCTTGACCCCCAGAACCTACAGAGTAAAGGGCCCAGTATGGTGACGTGTGCTGTACTGTGGGTGCTGGGGAGGTGGCAGCTCCGAGAGGCTTACTAGCCAGTCAGCCTCGCCTGTGAGGAGAGTTCAGGATGGTGATGCACTCGTACCTCAAAAAAGAAAAGGTGGATATACCTAGAGAAAGATTAGGTGTGGGCTGTAGCTGCAGCTCAGTGCCTTGCGTTTGGGAGGTCCTAGGTTCAATCCCCAGCCCTGGTTAGATAGTGAGCTGCCCTGAGGAGTGGAAGGGTAGATGAATAGCTGAGTTAAAACCGAAACGAGGCCTCGTGCAGAGCGAGAATGATCCCATGGTGTGAACCGTGGTACACAGGCAGTCATGCTCCTTTCCCTAATGTCCGAAGACAAGCCCAACAAACCAAAGCCAGAGAATAGCCACAAGATGGGTGAGCTGGTAGGACTTCCCTACAGATACAAAGATTTAAAAACCAAAGCAATTAAGACAGCACTGAGCAAGGACAGACAGACAGAAAAACGGAGTAGAGCTGAGAGCCTAGAAATGGCAAGCTAGAGAGGAGAGTCTTAGGCACAGGTAGCCACGTGGACCAGCAGAAGAAGGGCCTTTTATTTTATTTTTTTATTTTTTCCATGATTGGTGCTGAGACGGTTGGGGACACAAATGAAGAACCTCTTAAAACAAGAAGCAGTCATAACAAAACTTAGTTTTAGGTGGACTGAAGACCTGAAAGTGAAAGGCAAGCATAAAATGAGCCAAGACACCACAAAGCCAGACCTGATGTTGCATACCTGTAATCCCAGCATTCCAGAAGCTAAGGCAGGAGAGTCTAGCCTGGGCTACATAGCTAGACACTTAAGAAAGCCAGAACCCAAACTTCAGGCACCAGGTGATGTAGCCAAGATCATGCGTGACAGCATTCTGGAACTAAATACCAGATTAACACCAATCATTCATCTGCACCAATATTCCAGTGGGACACTGGGAGTACACGAAAACAAGCTACGACAGCTGTGCTCCTCCTAGGGTAAATCTTAAACCAAGTCCAGGTCAAGAACCAAGTGTTTTCAAAGTGTAATTCCACCTATTTTGACTTAAGACAGGGGTATGAATAAATAGTTCATATTTCTGAAAATATATAAAGCAAGGAGGAAAATCTAAAAAGAAATACAAGACAATAATCAGTATAAAAAATGGGGCAACATTACCCTGCTAGAAAGAAGAAACAAGGAGGATGAAATCCCTTGGAGGCCAGGGAAGGGCTCCTTCCCGCTCCTAGCAATGGGCACATTTGTTTCATTCTTTAAGATGAACGTCTGAAAGGATTGCTCAGCCATTAACCAGAGTTTGTGTCCCGGCACCACACCAGCCTCACAGTGGTCCAAAACGCCAGCTCCGGGGCATCCAGTACTCTCTTCTAGCCTCCGAGGGTGCAGCTACGCTCACAGCCTTGTACTCACCCACAGGCGCACACACATACTCATGTATTTTTTAAATTTTAAATTAAATCTCTAAAGCTAAAATATATGAATATATGCAATTTAAACATGATTTTGCTTCCACATTATATTTCACACTCATAAGAAAACTAATTTCAGCCGGGCACGGTGGCGCACGCCTGTAATCCCAGCACTCAGGGAGGCAGGGAGGCAGGTGGATCGCTGTGAGTTTGAGGTCTACAAAGTGAGTCCAGGACAGTCAAGGCTACACGGAGAAACCCTGTCTCAAAATACAAAAACAAAAAGAAAAAAAAAAAAAACTAATTTTCCTTGAAGGAATCTATTTTGAAAATATGTAAATTACATCTTTATTTAAGCATATTTTTTAAAAAAAAGAAAATTTCTTGTTTTCAGTGACAACACCTGATAACTTACAAATCTATTTCAAACAGCAAATAAAATCTTCGCTTTTATCTTGAAAAAAATTCTACTTTTATAGATATTCTAGAAGTAATAATAATTCAGGATAACCTATAAATAAATACAAAATGGAAAAAGCATGCCATGCTTGCTTCTCCCAAAAGCTACCTACTTTTTGCTGGCCCTAGGCAGTACGATGATCCTGGCCTGTACCTCTCACCTGATGGTCAGGTCGTAACTCCCACTGAGGAGAATGTTGTCTGGCTCAGACAGGAAGAGGGCCTTGATACTACCAGCATGGCCTCGGAACTCGATGTGCCTCTCCTTAGCCTTCGTGATGTCCAGGAGGTGGATCTTCCGGTTGGATGAGACAGCCACCAGATCACCCCCATTGTAGTGGATGACTCTGTTTTGGTCCCACCTGGGTTTCAGGATATGGTAGGGGTGGACCCGAAGAACAAAGAGTTAGTGTCCTTCCTGGGCTTACGCAGCACCTGGCTTTTGCCTAAGCTGGAGGAATAATGGAAAATTTGGGGGGCTTTCAGAGGGCAAGGCCAAATGACAACGGGACCTGATGACCTCTACCTCACATCAATGTCAAGAGGATTGAACCCTGAAGACATGGCTAAATCTGCTTATTTATGCTAAATCCTGAAAAGGCAGCCTAGACTGAGGGACAGTTCCCTTTAGCTGACCATGGAAGTCTGTTTCTCATAGAAAACGTCAGAAGGATATAGTTGGGAAGTCCCGTATGTACTGCATTTCCTCTTCCTGTCTTTCCCCCTTAACCAGTAGCCAAGGAGCAGTTCTTAGGCTCAGGCTTCTCTACTAATTAGTACCACTGACAATAAAGAAGACTTCTATACTAACTAGTACTTCTATACTAACTAGTACTTCTATACTAACTAGTACTTCTATACTAACTAGTACCACTGACAATAAAGAAGAGTGTGGCATGCCCTTTGCTCATAATGAGCTTTATAATCAGTCTACTGCCAACAGGAGAGGAAGTGATTTCCCTATTGGAAAACTATTCCAAAATTAGGTATTATATGAAAAGGATGACCAAATAATTTGTCCGAATAGAGCCATCTTTAATTGTGAAATAGGACTCTGTTGTGGAGTACACCATGGCCACAGAGTAAGGAGGCAACGATCCAGCGAACAGGAAGGCAAAATCGCTTTGATCGCTTTGACTTGGAGGAAGTCTTGGTTATTTATCTCCTGCTTCCTTGTGTCGTATCTCTGGTGCAGCCCTTCCCCCAACACACACATCTAAAGAGGAGCTGTCACCAAACAAGTTGTCAAAGCATCCCACACTGACCAAAAATAAAGTAAAGGCAGCCTCTAAAAACCTTGTGAATAAAGAGAAAGGACCTAGGACAACAATATGGCAAAAGTCTATTAAAACACTTTCTCAAGGCTGGGGTTATAACTCAATGACAGGTGCATACAGGCCTAGCTTGTGTGAGGGCCCGTGTCCCATCCCAGCCTTAGAGGAAGGAAGGAAAGAGGAAGGAAGGAAGGAAGGAAGGAAGGAAGGAAGGAAGGAAGGAAGG